CACAGAGTATATTAGCCATTGTTATTCTCTTAATTATTTTGTTATGAAATTTCTTTTTCTCTATTTTTTTCACAGAAGCAGAATGCTTTTATTTTCTTTATTAATATGTACTTACATTACAGTAAAGTCAAGTTTTCATAGAAATTCATGTACTCCCATGTTTCCCCCAAAATCAGATCTAGCTGGAAATAAAACCTACCTGCCTTACAGAGTAGCCACTGTACAAGAGAATAATGACGGCAGGTAAGGCAAGGATAGGCTACCTGGGGATGGCATTTTTGATCTCTAGTTTTCTAGGATGATTATTTTCCAGCTAGGTGTTATTTTTGGGAAAGAGAATCTTCTCTTCATTGACTGGCTTATATATTACTTATAGAAAGAATATGAGGCATTTTACAATATAAATACAAATAAGACTAAGAAAAAAGAAAGAGAAAAAAAATTAAAGTAGGGGGGGAAAATATAGCCTAAACATAGGTTCTACAAATTACTTTTTTTTTTAGACAGGGTCTTGCTATGTAGTTTAGAAGGGTCTTGAACTCATTATACAGTCCAGGCCGTCCTCAAACTTGCAGTGATCCTCCTGCCTGCTTCAGCTTCCCAAGTGCTAGGATTATAGGTGTGCACCACTATGTTTAGCTACAAATTATTATTAATTGCTATAATTGAGCTTGACCATGAACTTCCTGGAAACCAATGCAAAAAGTAAAAGGAAGATAGTTTTTAGAGGTTTTCTGTTGTCTGACAGAGCAAAATTTACCAGGTCATTAGGAAACACCACGCTTTTTACTCAAGTTCAAAGGAGACTTTGTATATATGTAGTAACAAACAACCTAAAAACACCATGAATTTTAACATGGTTTTCACACTTAGGAGGATGAAGGTCATTTAAAACTGAGTGTTCATATGGCTATTTCTTATACAAAGAAGCATCATGAACTTCTGGCAATTTTCTAACTTGGTTCCTCTTTGACTATCCTGAGGGATGAATGGAAACTGACCCCTAGCTATCAATTTTTTGAGTTTCTAGAAAAAGAATGTTTAAAACTGAGTTTTAAATTTCCCTCTACAGTTCACTAACCATATGTCCAATGCTTTTTTTTTTGGTTTTTCGTTTTTTCTCCGGTACCGGGAACCGAACTCACAACCTTGCGCTTCCCAGGCAGGCGCTTTTGCCGCTGAGCTAAATCCCCAGCCCCATGTCCAATGCTTTTGATGCTATATGGAAAAAGATCCAAAAGCAAAAGGCAAGAAGCCTACTTGCAATCTCATTCAAAGGCTAGCCACATCACACTTTTTGGGCAATGGGTCAAATGTGATGCTGGGGGTAAAGTCAAAAGTTTTCCTTAAGGACACTTAACAATTAAAATTATATTGCAGTCATTTATTGTGTACTCCATTAATAAACTGCAATTAACTTGGTGAAAAGTCCATGTATTTTTTTTTATTACCTATAATAATGCCTGGCTAATAATATAGAACCCACAAAGGTTTGCTGAGTTGAATTTTCTTTTTTGAAATATGCTACCACCCTTAGCAATGTGCTACAATTATTTACATATCACTCAACTAATTTAGAACTGTGATCGATTGTTTTTTTTTGAGACACGGTCTTGCTATATAGTTCTGGGCTGGCCTTGAATTCGTGGCGATCCTCCTGCCTCAGTCTCCTGAGTGCTGGGATTACAGGCATGCGCCACCATACTACACTGTTTCACTTTTATACTATAAAATATAGTTTTTGAAATTCAAGAAAAGAAAGAAATGCACACTTTGAGGTAGGTTTCAAAATACCTGGCTGACATATTATTTTCAGGAAGAAGTGGAATTTCCAGAACTTTTGTGCTGGCAATTATTATTTCTTGGCTTGCAGTGGCAACTGTCTTTCCAGTAATGCGATGCACCTGGTAAAATGCATGAGGTCGTAAATATCGATCATCTGCTGTTCCAATAAACATCTGTAGATTTATCGGCTTTTCGCTATAGCCCAGGAGCTAATTAGGTAGAAAAAAACATAAGAAAAAATTCATTATCAATACATTTTAAAAGTTTACAATACAGTCTGTATCTGTATCATATACTACTTAAACAATTTTTTTTTTTGGTACCAGGAATCAAACTCAGGATCTTGTGCTTGCCAGGCAGGCGCTATGCCACCGAGCAATCTCCCTGGCTGTATCATATACTATGGATATTTAAAATGTTACTTCAAAAAAGACAACATAGCTAGGTATGATGACACACATCTGTAATCCTAGCACTCTGGAGGCTGAGGCAGGAGGATGGGTCTGTATTCCAGGCTACCTTGGGCTATACAGTAAGTTCAAGGCCAGCTTGAACTATACAGTGAGACCCTGTCTCAAAAAAACCAAAAATATGACAGTAAAAATCAGTGAATAGTCCTCTAAATTTCTTAAGTACCTTAAGAGTTTTTTTTTTCCTTAAGAGTTAAAAAGCATTGGAATATATTACAAAGGAATATGGGGGAAGGTGTTGGGTAAGTATCTAAGTCACCAACAGTTTTGCAAGGCCTTCTGACTGTGCTGCGGACAATGCAAATAAATGCTGATTCTGTACTCTAAGCAACATTAAATCATTTAGACCAAACCTAAAGAGTTAGTAGTGTATGCTAAGGGTTCGATTTCACCCTTTTGCATGTAGATACAGTTTCCCAAGATTGTTGAGAAAACTGTCCTTTCTCTATTGAACAGTGTCGTCCTTCCTCTACTGATTGAAGAAAACCATTTACAGTACATGTGAAGGTTTATTTCTGGGCTATGTTATGCCATTAGTCTCTTTATGCCTGTACTACACCATTGTGTTGTTTTGTTTTGTTTTTCTGAGACAGGGTCTCAGTATGTAGTTTGGGTTGACCTTGAACTCACTATGTAGCCCAGCCTGGCCATAAGCTTACATTGATCTGCCTGCCAAAGCCTCCCACATGCTGGGATTACAAATGTGACCCACCATGCCTAGCTTTGTAGGACACTATTTTAACTACTGTAACTTTTACATATAGTAAGTTTCAAAACTGAGAAGTGTGAGTCCTCTAACCACTCTTCTGTTTTGGCTATTCCAGGCCTTGTGCAATTCCCTATGAATTTGAGTACTTGGTTTTCCATCTCAATAAAAAAAGGCTGCTAGAATTCTGAAAGGTATTGTGCTGAATCTTTAGATCACTTTGGGGAGTACTGACACCTTGACAAGGCTACTTCTTCCTATCCACGAACACAGTGCATCTCTATTTAGATAAACTTTAAATTTCTTTCAGCCATACTAAAATTTGCAGCATATACATCACATCACACATCTCAAGTTAGATTTATTCCTAAGTATTTAATTCTTTTAGATACTATCACACATGGAATTGCTGTTTCCCCTCAGACTGTTCATTGCTGGTACAAATATAACTGAATTATTTGTGCTGCTATTCTCCCTGAAACTTTGCTTATTATAGTAAGTTCTAGTAGCTTTTTTGCTAACACCTTCTGTGTACAGGATCATGCCATCTGTGAATAGAGACAGGTTAATCTCTTTCCAATTTAGATGCTTTTTCCTTTTTACTGTCTAGTTGCTTTGGCTAGGATTCTTGTTTTGTTTTGTCTTTTGTCTTTTTGAGACAGGATCTCACTATGCAGTTCAGGCTGGTCTTGAACTCTCTGTAGCCCACCGGCCTTGAACTCTTGGTGATCTTCCTGCCTCAGCCTCCCAAGCGCTGGGATTACAGGTGTGCGCCACCACCCACGGCTGGCTAGGATTCTTAATACAGTGTTGTACAGCCGTGAGGGAAACAGGCCTCTTTGTCTTGATTTTAGGAGTAAAGCTTCAGTATTTCACCATTAAATATGATGCTATCTATGGGTTTTATTTTTACTTTATTTTTGGTCTTTTTGAGACAGGGTCCCCCTATGCAGTGCAGGCTAGCCTTGAACTCACTTTGTAGCCTAGGCTGGTCTTGAACTTGCAACAATCCTCCTGCCTCAGCCTCCCAAGTGCTGGGATTACAGGAGTGCGCCACCACACCTGGCTCAGGTATGGATTTTAAACACCTTTGATTGTGCTAGAAAAGTTTCCATCTATTCCTAGTTTGCTGAGTGTTTGTTTGTTGTTTATTTTAAATCATAAGACAAATTTTGGCAAATGTTTTTCTTTTTTCTTTTTTTTTTTTAAAGATGAGAGTTTTGCTATGCATAGGCCACGCTGTCCTTAAGCCTGTGATCTTTCTACCTTAGCCTCCCAAAGTGCTGGGATTATAGGCATGTGCCACCATACCTGGCTCTTTCTTTTTACGGGCTGGTGATTGAACCTAAAGCCTGGCATATGCTGAACATGTACTCTAACTCCTAGCTGTCCTCCCACCCACAAAATGCTGAGATGACTGCATGGCATTTTTCCTTCCTTCTGTTAATTAACAGTGTATGGTATCACTTGATCTTCACATGCCAAACCATCCTTACATTCCTGGGATAAATACTACTTGGTAATATAACAGCACAATTTTTGTAATGTGATGTTAGATTTAGCTTTCTAGTATTCTGTTGAGGATTTTTACATGCATATTTATAAAGGATAATGGTTTGTGGTTTTCCTTCTTATATCTCTGTCCTCATTATCCTATGGATTTAAAAAAAAAAATCAGGGTCATAGTAAAATTCCTCCATTTCTTCACACATGGTATGCAATTATCTAGGAAATAATTCAGCATTTTTATCATGGTTATTCTGAAAATCTCATCAGCATCTAATGGATCTGCTAACATTGTTTTCTCTCCCTAATGTATGTAACCTGTGTGTGTGTGTTCATTTGTTTATTGTATACTAGGTATTTTATATTTAAAGCAAAATCCTGACAACTGAAGCAGAAAACATTTACCTCTAGAATGGCACATGTTGCTGGGTATGATGGCGCATGCCTATAATCCCAGCACTCGGGGAGGCTGAGGTAGCAGGATTGCCTTGAGGTCAAGGCCAGCCTGGACTATATAGTGAGTTGAAAAACCTCAACTACATAGCAAGATCCTGTCTCAAAAAAAAAAAAAAAAAAAAAAAAAGCACATGCTATTTCTCTTGTCAAGTCATAGTTCTTAAAAGATGTCTGAACTTTCCTGAAGCTCCAGTCTGATTCAGTACTGCACTGGTTTCAAAGGCCTTGAGGGCAGGTCTTTCTCAATAGCAGGGTATGCAATCTTTGGCAAGCATGGGTCAGATTCCAGAGATCTGCCTATGCTGCACAGCCAAGTCTTCATCCTTAAAATTGCTGGAAAGCCATTCCCTGATCTACCAACTGGCCTTTTGATTTTGGGGTCTATAAGGAGTTCTCTTTGCTCTTCCATAAGTTCTTTGATTTCTGAGCCTCACATATCTACCACTGTTATCCAACCTTGCGTGTTCCAACAGTGCTGTAGAAAAGAATTCTCTCAGCACTTCTGATACTACTCTTCTGTAAATGATAACCTAGAGTGCCTCAGGCTGTTTCTACCTTTTAAAAGGTAAAAGTATGAAGTGAGGGGACTCATCATGTTTCCTTACCTGGAATGGTAATTTTCTTTGTATTTGGAATGTGTTTAACAAGCTTCAGGGAGATCTCTCTCTCTCTGCAATCCTCATTCCTACTTCTGGCTCCAAATTCCTCTGTGAGACTTACTCTCCTATTTTTTTTTTATTCTTTTCTTTCTTTCTTTTTTTTTTTTTTGAGACAGGCTCTTACTATGTAGTTCAGCCTGACATTGAACTCACTATGTAGCCCAGGCTCGCCTTGAACTTGGCAGTGATTTTCCTGCCTCAGCTTCCTAAGTGCTGGGACTATAAGAGTGTGTCAGCACACGCAGCTGTTTTGGGTTTTTTGAGACTGGGTTTTGCTACGTATTTCAGGCTGCCCTTAAACTCACTATATAGCCTGGGCTGGCCTCAAACTCACAGTGATCCTCCTGCTTCAGCCTCCCTAGCGCTGGGATTGCAGGCGTGTGCCACCATGCCAGGTGTTTTTGCTTTTACTTAGTTTTCATGCATAAACTGGGAACTATTTATTGAACATCTGTATGTTCAGCTCTAAAAAGAACTAGACAGCCAAAATCCCTGCTCTAAAGAGTTAACCATTATAATACAGTAGATGATGCACTGATTCTGAATCGTTATGAGCCTTCAATACACCTTTCAAACTGTGCACACTGATTTCCTCTATAAACACAAATCTTTTGTTATGGGCATCATTTTGTTCCACCCTCCATCGTTCTGTCCAACCCGCTGGCATTCTGCGACATTTTGTGAACAGTTTTCTATTCCTCTCTACTGTTGTCCTTGCCACTCATTCCTCTTTGCCACAGCCTGGTCGTTTGGGCTTTCCTACCTTCCCTTTCCTGGCTTGTTATGCTGGGTGACTAATGGCAGTACCTCCTCAAAAGTCAGGTCTTCAATAAATATAACCTATCAGCATTTCTCATCAGTATTTGTTTAAGCTTTGTGGTGAATTTCAGATCTTCACTGTAGCAATATTCTTTCAGAATGCTATCCAGAATATCTTCAAAAAGTCATTTTTTAGGGTTTTTGTCAAAAAAATGTTGCATTAAGGAACTGATAAAGAGGCGCATAATGCTCAAGAAATGCATAGCTCAGCAAAGGAAGTTTCTACGATACTGTCAAGTCCCACCGTAACAAATACTAGATTCTGCAAGAATACTATTAAAACTGTTTGGTATGTGATATTAGTTTATGCTCAAACTCAAGAAATTAAATTTTTAGTTTTTTGATATTGAATTATAATTTATACCAGGCATGGTGGCACACGCCTGAAATCCCAGCCCTTGGGAGGCTGAGGCAAGAGGATCACTGAGAGTCTGAGGCCAGCCTGGGCTACAAAGTGAGCTCATGGCCAGCTTGAACTGCATAGCGAGACCCTGTCTCAAAAAAAAAAAAAAAAAAAAAAAAAATTGTATGGCACATTGTTTGAAAACTTAACTCATAAATATACTTAAGTATTCATTGTATGTCTATTATGA